CTTACAAAGGTCATTAGGCAACATATACATATTTTCTGAGTGTAAGGTTAATTTTAGATGCAAACGTGGCTTGGCTATAGAATGCCCAGGTAGCTGATAAAAAATATTTGTGTGTATATCCATGATGTGTTTCCAGAAGACATTAACATTTGAAGCAGGCATGAACTGATCAAGCTTTGTGGGCTAAATAGAACAAAAGGGTAAAGAGGGATATATTCTTCCTCTGTCTGTCAGAGAAGGGACACCAAATCCTTCTGTCACCAGGAATCAGGGCTTCTACCTCACAGGCTTTTGAACTTGAACTGATTTTACTGACTGGCCTTCTTGTCTTCTAGCTTGTAGGTAACATATTGTGGGAACCCTTGGCCTCTGTTTTTTATGAACTAAATTCAACATTAAAATTTTGCCTCTTTTTGTGTGTGCCTGTGAGTATACACACACAAGCATATATATATATATATATATATATATATATATATATATATCTCCACACTCATATACATACATATGTGGAGATACGTTTATCTATATCCATCTACTATGCCTGTCTGTCTTTCTATCTTTTTATCTATTGCTCTCCTTTTGGCTCAGTTTCTCTGAAGAACCTGGACTGGGGTACGATGCATCAGTTTTGTGAATGATGCTCTAACATGCATCAGAGAGACATGAACAATAGAGTATATTCCAGGATAAGAGCTGTCCCATAATGTAACCCCTACCCCAAAAATCTTGATGTTAAATGGCAGGAATGTGGCCATCTTTTGGGGATAAACAGGCACATGGCCATCTTTCCAGAATTGTGAAATGAATCAGGTTGACAAACTGAGGTACACAGTTATCATAGATACATGTACAGTTGTTAAATAATAAGAAAGCGAAATTATCTGCACTTTTCAATTTTCCCCAATGCCAATAACTTACTATACTGTAATATCACAACCAAGATACTGACTTTGACATACTGAGATGTAGAACAGTTCCATCAAAAGGAGAATGCGTATAAGGCACCCTTATACACAGCCCTTTTATAACAAAAATTTAGTTCTCTCCACATTTAAGCCAACTATCCCATCATTTTTAACTACTGGTCACCAGTAATTTGCTCTCCATTTCAATAATGTTATATAAATGGATCCTATGATATGCAAACTTTTGAATTTTAAGAATCTCTTTTCAATATGAAAAATTCTTATTACACAACACTGAGGTTGTCAGGTAAACCAATAATCTACTGATACTTAGCCATTCACTTCTTGAAGTACTAGTTCAATAACATACTAATTGTATTAATAAACATTCAGGTAAAATGCTTTATATGTGAGCATGTATTTTCATTTCTCTGGAACAGGTCAAAAATGCCATCCCAGCACTCAGGAGGCTGAGGCAGCAGGATCATTGTGAGTTTGAGACCAGCCTAGGCTACAAAGTGAGCTCAAGGCCAGCCTGAACTGCATGGAAAGACCCTGTCTCAAAAAGAAAAAAGGGGGTGGAGCAAAGAAGGCGGATAGATAACAGCTGGCTACAGAAGCTCCCTGGGATAGTTAGAATTCAGCATAATGCAGTGTGGAGAGTCCTGAACAGAGGGAGATGAATTCTCTCATCCCAAGAAGAAACTAAGAAGAGAAGAACCAATCAAACATACGGTCCAAGTGCTATTATTGGAACAGCTAAAGGTTCAGTGTTCTTGCTGCAGGGGGCGACTTTCTGAACCGTCTGAGGTCCTGCCGCTTCGACTCACTGGAGGTGCAGTCACACTGAGGTCAAGGGTCGGCCAGCCTAACAGACAGCTGAGTTGGCAGGGAGCCTGCATCTACCTGTGGTGAGGGACGGGAGTGGAGCCATTCCACAGAAAGAGGGGCTCTGGCAGACCACATTCTGGGACTCGGCAGGACTGGCAAATACAAAGGGCAGTAGTGATTTCAGGCAGTTTATCCCTTCTGGAATGGAATTGGTAGAGTGAGCTAGGCCTGTGTCATGCGTCCTGGATGAGACCCAATAGGTTATCCAAAATCAATTCCCTATGCAGTGGTGCACAATAACCACACTAATGCAGTGAAGCCTCAGAATTTTGACTGATCTGGGAGGGGAGGTGGTATATAACAATACAGTGCAGGCATCAGCAACTTGAATGATTTGAAGGAGAGGGGCCAGCATATTCTGCCCCTATCTGCAAATCACTAGCACACTGCAGTGCTACTTCAAAAGAATTGTAACCAATAAAGAAACTGGGGCCTCCTGGAAGAAACAAAAAAGATGGGAAGAGGAATTAACATCAAAAAGTCCCCAGGTCCCAACCCTTAGAACATTGACCCAGAACAGGTAAATACAAAGGAATATGAGAATAGCTAACATGCAATATCAGACAGGGCACCAGTGGGCATAAAGGAATATTTTCGGGACTTCATAGAGGAGTTCAAAAATGAAATATTTAGCCAAGTAATAAGATATAAGAAGATTAATAAAAGAGATGCTATGCACCCCTCAGGCAGACACAGACAGAACAAGGGAGGAACTGAAACAAAGGAGAAAAACATTTGATGAAGAATATAAAGAAAATATAGAATATATGAAGCAGATTGAAAGAGATTTTCAGGAAGTTAAAAACTCTATGGAAAGAGGGCCAATCTGCTTGCAGGAAACTAAGGATAGATTATCCAAACTGGAGGACAGTTTTGCAATGTGGGATTATGAAAGAAAAAACTTTTTTAAAATAAAAAGGAAACAAGCAGTAACAATATAAGGGCTAGAAGACAACAAGAGAATCTACAACTTGAGAATAAAGAATGTGAATGAAGAAGTAGGGTTACAAACAAAGGAACTACAAAGGCTATTCACAGAAATAATCAAGGAAAACTTCCCACATATAGGTAAAGGAAATGATATTCTGATGTATGAGGCATACAGAACTCCAGCCACCTACAACCAAAACAGAGCTACATTCAGGCATGTAATAATCAAGATCCCAGAAATTCAAAATAAGAAGAGAATATTAAAAGCTGTTAGAGACAAGAAACAGATAACCCATAAAGGAAGGTCCATCAGAATAATGGCAGACTTCTTGACACAAACCATCAAGTCAAGAAGAGCCTGGAGTAAAATATTCCAAGCCCTGAAAGAAAATAACCTCCAGCCTAGATTGATATACCCTGATAAACATCTCTAGAATTCAATGGAGAAACAAGATGCTTCCAAGACAAAGAAGAACTGGGGAAATTCGCAACCACCAATCCAGCTCTACCGAGAATACTGCAGGGCATTCTAGAGAGAGAGAGAAAAGTGCAAGGATTCCAGGAACAGTGGCAGAGAGGCCTCAATGAATGGAGCAGAAAACAGAAAGAAGAACATAAACAGAAAACTGATGGCAAAAAAAGAGCATAACAGAAATGAGGCAGAGAAGGTTGGTTATAATCTCTATTATAGATGGCCTTGATACACTAAATTTTAAAAAAAGAACCACACGTGGAGTAAATCAGGATGTGGAGTCCACTGAGATGCTATTTATAGGAAATATAAATAACATGAAAAAGAGTACATGCACTGAAAATCAAATATGAGAAAACAATGCTCTATGTGACAGAGAACTCGAGAATAATAGGGGCAACTAGACCAGTATTTATGGGTAGGTTGGAAAGACAGGCTTTAATTGGTAAAGGAATACATTTAGAGATCAAGTCCAGATTGGAAATACTTAGGTAAATAGTAGGTTGCCACCACCAATTGAAAACCAAAGGTTTTGGTCAGACCTAAAAATGCACAGTGTACCCTGGGGATGTAAAAGGGGAGGGAGAGTCTTAAATAAGATGGCAGAAGATATTGTTAATAGTGTATCAGGATTTAAAACCCACATTACTCACACCACTCTGCTTAGATAGATTTTATTCTTTTTTTCGTTGTATAGATTTTATTCTGTCCCAGTTGTCTGCTTGCATTAGATTTGAGAGCACAGACAGCTATCCCAAAAACATCAGGATATAGCACAGTTATCATCTTTAATTTCATATTATCTTAATAGAGCCTTGAATGACTTATACTGTTTTATTATGACTGATCTTAATTAAATCTGGTTTGTTTGATTGCTGTTTGGAATAGATAGATTTTATTCAAAACTGATATGATTGATAGTATCAAGTCTGAGAGTATAGACAACTACACTGAAGATGACAAGACTCTACAATACACATTCTGGTTTGATGACTGCCTGCTTTGAAGTTTTATACTATATATAAAGTTATGCTTTTATTAATACTGTTATGTACTGATAAATTAATTATACTATATTGATGATATAGCCTATTCTAATCAAGATAAAAGATAACACTATGGTAGAACTCTTTGTACAGCAGTCTTATATGTATTTTTCATTTCATGTGTTTGTAGGATTATGTTTTGTTTTGTCTTGCTTTGTTTTGTTTCTCCCTGTAATATACAAAGGATAGAAATACATGTTAAGACTCATGCATGTGTAGAATGTATAAACAGTTTATGAGAACTGACCTTATGACACATGATGAAATGAACAGATAGTTTAAAGAAAAAGACACTAAAGTACCCAGTGCTGATTATGGAGGGTCATAATGTGAAACCCAGCAATAGTTCATAGTGAAACCCAGCAATATTATTTGTTTAGATTGATATTAGACTGTTTGGGTTTGTTCAAACTTCACATAATTGCGGATATGGATAATTGCATGTTTAAGTGTACAGGATTGATAACCAGATTTCTAAGTTTTTGTTGGATAGTTGAACAGAACTGGTTGCAGTCTCACTGTTTGAATCCCCACTTTATATTGTCCATTTTAGTGTTTTGAATAACTATTTGTAAGGGGACAATCTGTAATCATCAACTAGTGATTTCTTACTGTTTACTTTTTATTTGAAAGTATGTATTTTTCCATTCATTTTCTGTTTTGTTTAGTCTTTCTTTAAATATTTTTTTTAAATGACACAGTAGTACCCAGCGCTGATTTCAGAATATCACGATGTGAAATCCAGCAATACTATTATTCTTTTTTTTTCTTTTTTTTTTTTTGACTGAAAACAAAGGCATCTGCTTTATTTGTTTTCAGATAGCAGCACATGCTGTTTCCTAAATACATGGTGGCTGTGCTCAGAGGATATGCAATGCCCTCAGGAAGGGCAGAGCACAGTGGCGTGGCCTGAAGTCTGTGTCTGTGGTCCCGTGGCTGGTCTTTTGGTCACAGCTGAAAGCTGGTCCCTGCTACCAGATGTGGTAGCTGCTCCTCAGCCCTTGTGGGCAGCGCTCGCACACACGCAACACTGGTAGGCCTTGACCAGGTTGGAGCACAGCAGCACCTCGTGTGCGTGGTCACGGTAGCAGCGAAGGATCTGGGCCTGCAGCCCTGAGCACACGGGCTCCACCCTGCGGGGCTTGATTGTGTTCTCTGCTTTCGAAGCTGCCTCGTGGAATTGCTGTGAGGACAGTTTATACATCTCGGCTTTCTTCCTCTCGATGTGCCCCAGCTGCTCCTGGAAGAAGGTATCACAGCGTCTGAGTTCTGCCTCTTTGCTTCCCAGCTCCCTGGCCAGCCGGGCTGACTGCTGCTCCTCCTGATCAGTACCACTCTCCACCACAGGCGGGGCCAATGGCAAGTGCTTGGCAGCTGCCTCTCTTTCCCGCTTCACCACCTGGAACAGCTCATCCTGGATGGTAGCCTGCTCCTGTCTGAACCTCTTGAGGTCCTCCTTCACTCCTAAGAGCTGCTGGCCATCATTGGTCTCAGACCTGGGAAGTCTGGGTTCTTGCTGAGAAGCTGGCTGCTGACCTTCTGCAGGTGGGCTGGAATCCTTCATGCGATGGACCACGTTCTCAGACAGCCGGATGCCCTGCAGCACCCGGACCCGCTCCTCCTCGTCCATTCCGAAGGACACCCTGAGACCCTCGCTGCTCTCAGTGCTCCCCATGGCCAGAGGCGGGCAGACCGGCAGGTAGGCGGGCACACGACCACGCTACCCAACTCCAGAGCAACCAGCAGACGCCGCGCTGAGTGCCTCCTGACCAATACTATTATTCTTTGTTCAGAATGACTTTAGCCTGCTTTAGTTGGTTTTATCCCAACATAAATGAAAATATGGATAACTGCATTTATGTTTAAGTGTATAGGATAGACAACCACCTTACTAAGTTTTTGTTGGATAGTTGAGCAGAACTGTTCGGAGTCTCACTGTTCGAATTCCCACTTTATAAGTTCCACTTGTATCTTGAACAACTATTTGTAAAACCACAATATGTAAACATCAACTAGTGATTTCTTACTGTTTATTTTTTCTCTGAATGTATGTATTATTTCTACCCATTTTCTGTTTTGTTTAGTCTTTCTTTAAATGAAAAATTTTTAAATTTTTTAAAAAACGTAACAAATGCAATTCTTGGGCTGCAATGGTAACCGCATGTGCAGCAGTTTAGAAAATTCAGAAACTGCCATTTTGCATTTCCATTACAGTGAATGGATGAAAGGACTTCTTTATATTCTTAATGATATCAAGGGTTCATATTATTTCTGTTTATTTTATTAGTCATTTTACTGAAATGTAGACTCATAGAAAAATATGAGAAATGCTGAAATAGAAATGAAGATACTCATAAAAGAAAATGTGCAAGAAGTCACTAACCCAATCTTGAATGGAGTGTCAAAGAAGTCTTAAATGAAACTAGCATAAATGTTAATCCTAATCAAACTGAAATCAACTCACCAACTCATTGAAATCAAAATCATCTAAGTAGAACACGTCATATTTACCAATTTCAGGAAACTTGGAAAATATAAATAACTTGGAATGATCAGCAAGTGATAAGAAATTTGATCGGGAGGAAATGGAAAAATCAGCAGAAATCAAATAACAAAGAGCTTTGTATGATTTGATGAGAATTCAATTTTATATAGATAGTAGAACCATGGATAAAAGAAATGATTTTTGTCATTCTGAAATACATCTGATTTCTCTTCTCATCTGACACTTTTTCAAATTTAGAACAGTAACATTTAAACAAGGAAGATAATCAGAGAAGAAAGTAAAAAGGGAATGTTCAAAGACATATGTATATTTTGTATTCAGAAACCTAAAAGATGTCAATGGGAAGCTGTAAGTAGTTTAGAGTAGGGTCAACAATTATATCCATAAACCAAATCTGATCAACTTCCTGTAACTGTAAGTAAAACATTATTAGAGTACAGTTGCCTTTATTCATTCATGTATTGGCCATGATGGTTTTTGCATTACAATGGCAAATGTGAGCATTTGAAGTAAACCAATTCTAGGAAAGGAAGAATTTATCAGGAAAAAAACTCTGTTAAGAATATTCTAAATTAATCAGTAAGAAAGTATTTGGTAATCTTTGAAATGGTGCTAAATACGAAGCATGAGATGAAAGGAAGTATAAAGAATAAGTTCAGAAAAAAACCTTCACAATATATTTGACCATCCTTAACCAAGTTAATATGTCTACCTGTAATACAAATTATCACCATTCAAGGTTGAGGAAACATTGCAGAGTTTCAACAACTTGGCTAAGGTTTTACAGGAAGTAGGTAGGAATCAAAACTAAAATACATTCTTTTTAATAAAAACTCATTTTCCTTACCGTTTGAGATTATTTTTTTCTTAGAATTTAGACTTGACACTTGTGAATTAAGGCTTTCAAAACCTTTTAGAGGGATTATAAGCAAAATATGTTTAGAAAGAAATGATATTGGTTTCTTGAAATTTCATCTGTTTTCCCCACCAGCTGGTACACTAGAGGCAAACGATCACTTAATAGTTATTTTCAATTAATGCAAAATCATTGCCTTTCCAAATGTAAAGTATTCTTGCTCCCAGGACTCATTGAATTTACACAAAATGCCTGCTCGGAGTAAAGTTTTTGTAGACACAATGGAGCTTTCTTACAATAGCAAGTGTTCTGAAATATTTCACCCAGCAAAGAGAAGAATAAATGTAATCTTTTAAATTAGTAGACACTAAGGGAATAATAATAAAAACAATAGAGATAAGAATGCCTTCAGTGATGCAAAGAACAGGAAAAGTCTTGGAAGACCAAAACCTCATTGTATTGTAAACGTCTATACCTCAGTTAAAGGACATAAATAATTTTTTTCTATTATGTAATCATTGTAGGCATCTGTGATATAACAGCTTCAACTTTCCCTCATTCCTAAGTCAACAATTTTAAATAAAATAGGCAGGGTGGAAGGGATGATTAATGTGTGTCCCATTCATTAAAATCACTTCATAACAGTTGTACTCCGCAGAGGTGGTTTTGTTCTGTCGTACACTTTGCCAGTTTAGAGACATTTTATATCATCGCACTCTATAGTTTGGGAGATGCTACTGGCATCTAATGAGTAGAGGCCAGTTACATAATACAATGTCATGTTACATAGGACAAATACCCACAACAAAGAATTGTAGGGCACAGAATTTCACTAATGAGCCTTGAGAAATCCTGCTTCACAGCACACCATTGCAGCATTTTGACAGCCTCACCAATGACTTAATCATCAATATACCATCTATACTAATTATACATAGACAACCACTACCTACAATATAATTTTTATCATAGTTATAAAGGATAACCTTAAAGGAATTAATGTGTAAGATTGATTAAAAGCATAAAGTTAATTTGCATAAGAGTATTAGTATGCTTGTTTCATTTATTGTATATTATTTACTACACTCTAATATGTATAATAAAGTTAAATGAATGAAATGCATCTAATTGTGTGTAAATGTTCTTTGGATGAGGAGCCTGGGTTATATACAAACTGAACAATAAATACCTATTTCAGGCATGTTGCCAATTTATCCAGGAAGAGAAAGCTAAGAATGATGGAAATAAGTATTTGTTGAACGAGCTGCAGTTGTGTTTAAGTAATACCTAATTGCTTGTATAGAGCATACTATCCATCAGTCAGAACAACGGTAGGTAATCTGCTATGATAAGTGTGTTGATTTACTAAATTACCTCAAAAAATACAATATTAAAGTTATGACAATAACCAGTCAAACCCTGAGGTGTTGAGAATTAATGGAGATTTAACTTAAATGTCCTTTGTAGGCTTCAGAAAGCATTCCTGAGGAAATTAATCAAAGGCAATGTAAAAGCGTCATCTGGAAATTAAAACCTGAGATCTAAATTTTTCCGCAGTTAGAACTATTGTGAAGATTTTGGAAAAGTACAGTATTCAAAATTATAAAATGGTTAACAGAAGTCATAATTTTAAATGTGAGTTTAAAATGTGTCATTTTATGATGAATTATGTTTAAAATAAATTACTGTCAGCCCTCTGCATCTGAGCACTCTGCATCTGTTAATTTAAACAATGATAGATCAGAAAGATTTAAAAAATAAAAATTGGCCATTTATTGTGCATATACAAGCTTTTTTCTTGTCACTATTCTCTAAATAATAAAATAAACTATTTTTTAGATAGCAATTATAATTACATTATATTATGCTAACTAACTTAAAGATGATTTATAATATACAGGATATGAGTAATTTATATATAAATAATACAATATTATATATCAGGAACTTGAGCATCTACAGATTTTACACCTGCATAGTGATCTTAGCACCAATTCTCAACAGACACCAGGAGATGACTACAGATCTAAGTGTGCAATTTAATTTGTATAGAAATGTAGTAGTGACGCACTCAACTTTCTTGGATCCTAAGAATAAACTCAAGTGAAGATAAATTGTATTTGAAGTTGTGAAAAATCTTTTGAGAGCTCACTTTTCCACTGAAGGAGCTCTAGAAACAATACAGTAGGCTAGATCTTTCTCTCAATTCTTTGCCTTTGTCTTGCATTAGAATTACAAACCATTTGCCTTTGTCATATGAATTTGCTCTACCTAACAATAAAGTGGAAACAGTATAATGTTTCATTCTGATTATATGAAATTTAGCCACATGATTTTCTTTGTCCAATAGAAAGTAGGCAAAAAGGATGGTGTCCTCTGTGGACTAAAGGTATATAATAATTCTGATTAATTTTTTGGCTTGTATATCATTTACCATTAGAGAAAGTTGCTGCAGGTAGATATTGACTAATTACAGAAGACTTGAAAAAAAAATTGTATGTTTACACTAAGCCAATGAAGTTTTTCAGGTTGTTAAACACCAAAATCTGACTGGTGTAGTTACAAAAGGATTTGCTGCCATAGTTTCTGCTATTAATCATTGACATTTACCACTCAAACCCTGCTCTTTGATTTCCACTGAAGATCATTTAGGAAGGAAGGCCCGGACTAATTTCCTGGGTGGACTGAGTTGTGGCATTCCATTGGTCAGTTTTAAACTGATTTGGTAATTGATACGATTTTAGATGGGACACCCAGAACCAGCTTCAGGAATTATGGAAGAACAACCAGAAAAAAAATATTTCACTGTTTTTTTTCCTACTCCTTAGCTTAAATAATGGGAAGTTACGCTACCACAGACGTCTTACCAGTACAAGAGAAGACTAGCGTTATCCATGCTTCCACAACAAAATTAAAAATGGAGGTGAAAGTGGAAATAAAATTTTCATGATGTGGCCCATAATTTTAACCTACTGACATTCGAAGACAATCCTGTCCCTGGATTGTTTTTCTTGTATAAATATTAATAATTTCTTGTTACTCCTTAACAAAATCTGAATTATTCGCTACTGATCACAGAGATATTCCTGATAGATACAGTATATTTGGTTCCAATTCAAATGATTGGAAATAGAGGAAGCATTATTTTAAACATGAATTTCTTTTGTTTGAACTCCAACACTCAGTCATTCTGTAATATGAATAGAAAAAATTAACTGCAGAAGGGAACAATTATAAAAGCATATGAAAAATACATGCTTAAATCTCTTTCTATTCATATAATTTTCTTGTAAATGTGAATATCATTATAACATAATTATGGTTTATCCAAATCCCAACATGAAATTAACATTTCAAAGATATAATAGAATTATAATATTTTTACAGGACATAATATTTT